CACTGCTAGAAAATAGGTTTTTAGTGGCGTTTAAAAAACGCCGCTAATTTTTTTTGTGGCGTTTAGTATCAAACGTCGAAGATGCGGCCGTCGCCATAGCTTTATGACGCTTTAAAAGCGTCGCTATATTTAGTATAGGCGGCGTTTACCCTAACATCACTGTGATTTAGCAACGTTTTCAAAACGCCGCCATATCTTTTTAAAAAAAACTAACCGTTAGCTTTAGAGTTTAGGTGGCATTCTCAAAACGCCGTGGTATCCTCTTTTTTTAATTTTTTTTTATTATAAAAATTGTTCTAATTTTATGTGATTGAACTAAAAAAATACCTTTAATAAAATTAAATAGCACTAATATAAAATAATAACTTCCATTCAAATAGTAAATGTAACATTAATTCACTTTTCCATTCAATTTAATATCCAATCATCATTACCCACAAAATAACATATCTAAAAATTGAATTTACAATTCTCAACAAAAAAATCAAATGATTCATAAGCAAAGGACCTGATCCTTGTATTTTACAATAATGTTTTTATGTGTGTAAAGCGCATGCTTCTTGTTATCACTGTTCTTGTCAGGATGCAGCTCACCAACAAAACCTATAACATTGACAAGATGATAACATAAATCATTGAATTAAACATCTGAAGAGACTCAAAAATTAAAAATATGTTTAATAATACAAGAAGTATAATACCAAAAAAAACAAAAAATTAAAATTTGTTAGTACATACCCTAAAGCCGGATAACACATAAGTAAAACCAAACTAGCATCAAATAACTTGTAAATGACATAAAATGAGACCCAAATTGACCAAAAAATTGATCGGATGAGGCCCATAGGCACTAAAAGCTTTACAAATTCCAAACTTTCACTTTCTAGTTTGCATTCTCTACATCATGTATCTCCCTATTCTCAGACAATGTCAGCAATCTCTCAACTTCAACAAGAGCTTTGCAATTTCATAGAGTGTGAGAGAGATATGTTGCAATTCAATATGTTTCACAACAATTTGAGAGTTGTGTGTGTGAAAAAGAACTCTACTACAATCTTAACAGTGACAAGAGAGACCGGCACGCCTTTGTTAGCAAAAACAGTGACAAAGAGAGGATTAAAAAGAAAAGTGGACTAGAATGATGAGTGTTTTTTGATTAAACAAAATGAACCTATAATTTCTAAAATCATAATGAAGAGTGAGGAAGGGCATTGTTAGCTCACATACTTGTGACTTCAAACAAACAGGGCATCAAAGAAAATGATAATGGGTACTCATTAAAGAATGAGCAAGTGTTGTATTCAACGAGCACAGAGAGTCAGTTTGTTTTCTACTCCTAATCCTAGGAAGAGCCCAGAGGTCATGTCTCCATAATGAACTAATAAATGAACATTGTCTAATTTGTGCATACACATACAGTGATACTAATCAATGAAACCAATTGTTCTCGATAGAAAGGGAAAGACAACTAACTGGTATCAATGAAGCCGACAACGACATTAACTTGGTTCTTGGTGGAATACCCAGGGATTTCCATGGTTTCTTCTCCCAAAAGACCCATGAAACCCCATGAATGAGTCGTGTGAAGCCTCCTGCGGTTGTTTAGAAACACCGACACCACTCCAGGCATCTCTGTGTTTCAATTTTTAAAACCATGACCTTGATTTTTCAGAGCCATGGATATAAATCAATCAATGATGATGAGAAATGGTAAAGATAATAGTAAATACTACTATTGTATTGACACACTGGCAATTTCAGAAGCTTGGTCCTCTGTCAACTTGGCTCCAAAGCCTCTGAAACCATGTCTGTAACTGTAGACATGAGATGCCCTGGCTTGTTCAACACTGTGTCACCGATTGAATGATTCAATCAGCACAACCAAACAATCCTCAATAAGAACAAGAAGAGGAACACAACAATAACATCAAACCATAAAAAAAAAATAATAAAAAATAATAAAAAATGGTGGTGTACAGTTGAAAAAAAAGAAAAGAAAGAGAAAAAAGGAACATTGGGTGGACCTTCCACCATGAAAATCAGTGAGGAATTGGTGGTTCTGCATCAAGATCTCATCTGGGTCATGACCATCTCTGCTTCCCATATAGACCACATAGACCTGCACACAAGACAAAGCTTGACCCAGTAACATAAATCCAAAAACAAAAAAACAAAAACGAAGAAGTTGAGTGAAAATATCATATCTATATCCACACCTTAGCAGAATAACAGAGGCCAACTTGGGCAAGGAAAGCACAAAGGAAAAGAAAAGGAATACCAATATTAGTAATAGTGGTGTTTCTGGATGAAGCCATTCCAAGTACTGAAATGATTCTTCTTCAGTTGGAGTGGAACTTGCAAAAGCTGAATTATATCAGTTGGTTTCAATGGTTGACAATGGATGCCTAAGTTCTTCGTTATCGGTACAAAAAGATATTAGATGCTCGAGCTCAAAATATTCGGAAAAGAATCCAATGGGAGGCACAGGATGTTCACTGGAAAGCTCCTTCACATCATCTAAGAGCTCGGGGCAAAAGGAAAAGAAGAAATCCAAGCATGAGAGTGGAGGAGATGCCAATTCTGTTGTACTGTCACTAACGGATATGGATCCAAGGGGGAAGGAAAAGGGTATACCAAGCAATCAAATAAGCGGAAGGAAGAGAAGTGAGAGCACCATTTCTGATGGTGATTGGGCAGAACAACCATCTGGTAAACACACACACAAAACTGGTGACCAATTGACAAGGTTTGGATTAATGGAGACCTTTGATCTGAACATCCAATATCTGACCGACTTTGATTCAGGTCCAAAAGCAATAGACTTGAACTGAGAAGGTAATAATTCAAATGGCATTCAATGCTTTGAGGCATTGATATCAGATGAGATTAAGTAATATATACAAATATAATGCATTGCTTATATTTGCTTATAAAAAATTATGTATATTGTTGTGTATGGACCCCAAGTCACTTCCCAAAAGTATATCCATATTGAAAGGTAATAATATACTTGTGTACTCTCCCCCTGAGACACACAAACTCACCCCTGTATTCCATTTCGGAATAGCCAAGTCTCTGAGAAATTATTCTTGAGTCTGATAAAGTTCATTGATTAAACAATATTGCAAGAAAAATTCAGTTAAATACCCAACAAGAAACAAAGAATCATTAGCTAAAACATGTGCCTGGTGGGCATAATTACATAGCTGACTAAGAGAATAATTGTATAATCCACACAGCTTAACAAATAATATGTTCCTCTGTAAAAGCCATTGCAACAAGAACAACAGATACATGAACCATATGTGGTTATTCTTTGATATAGCATTTATAGTTGTAGGCTTTGAATATTGTCGGAAAATACGTACTTGCATGACTTCTGATGTAAAGTCTCAAGGAGGGAAGCTGTCAGCAGCAGAGCACCCAAGCACTGTTCAACGGATGGATACTAGGTGCTTCTAGTAGGAAAAATAAATTCTCTTTTTGAATCAGTGATTGATTTTCGACCAATGAAATTCATCAGTTGCACGATGATTCGTGTGCAAGGATTGTACTATGAAAGAAACAGAGGAAGAATGCTGGGAGGATCCACCCTAGTGTTGGCTCTATGCTAGCTAATCGACCTTGAAGTCTAGACACCAAAAGATGGCCTCCCCAAGACAGGACTCTGTTATCTTTCTCATGGTTTCAGTTAGGAACATTTGAAGTGTGTAGTGTTAGAATTTCACGTGTTGCGAATCCAATTGCTTTTTATTTGGAAAACTGAATTTGTTGTTTGGTTCGATAAGGTGCATATCACGTAGATTTCATGATGAAAAAAGAGTTAACAATATAAAAATAGCCTAGTCTACTCTCATACAAGGCGTTGCTCAACCCTATTTGTAAAATCTCTGTATAGATAATACTATGATATCAATTATGCATATAGGTTTCATTCTTCAACCCTTGCATAAAATTAGATCTACCAAATCAGCAGTCCTAGACTGAGTTAAAAAATGTGAAAGTTCACTGGAAGAATTTGGAAGAAGAGACATCTCAGCTGTATTTTGTGGCCATAAATCCAGAAAGTCTTCATAAATATGAGAATGTTCAGCCATAGTAAAGGCAAGAAAGGAAATGCACAGATAGTTCTTGGCTGCACCAATTCTTGAAGCATAGCACCTTTTACGAAATGGCTACAAGGCTTTTTCAATAAATTCAAGCCATCCACAAATTATTCAATAGTATCATAGAGTTCTAAACCATTTCTTTATAGTCAAATATTCTTTAAAATATAAACAAACATATCCATGAGTTTCATTTTAAGCAAATAGGGGTCAGGAAATAATCCATGTAACTAAAATATTAATATAACTTAATATAATTTATAAAGCATAACTTGTATAAAATAAATTATGGTAAGTCAAAATATACGTAAAATATATTAGGTAACTCAAGGTATAATATAACTCACCTTAAAATTAGTACCTCACTATTTCTTTGCACTATCAAAGATCTTCTTAACTTCCAAATATAATTTGTATTAATATAACTTATAAAATATAACTTGTATAAAATTGTGATAAGTAAAAACGTATGTAAAATACATTTTGGTGACTCAAGGTATAATATAACTCACCTTAATAGTGACCCTTAGCCTTACTCCACTAACCCAACTTATTTACAATGCAAAGCTAGAATCTCAGAAGTGCCACAAGTTGAAACTAGTTAACTGCTTGCATGAAAAGCATGTGGGCGTTTGCTATGGGAGTGACCACAACATGTACCAGCATCAAAACATGGGAGGATGAATAAATGTGTTGACTACTGAGCTAAAATTAACAACAAACCTGCCACTGGTTTTTAATAGCCTCATACTCTGACTTTTTAACTGACATGAGATATTCCCTCTCTGCAGATGTTGAATCATATGCATGATATCCCAATAGGAAAGGCCAAACCTGTAATCATTAAAAAAAAGTTTCACTAACAAAAATGCACATTCAACCTAGAAAAATAAAAGATCAGCATGCCACTTCTTCCTACTACAATATACAAACCTCTTTCCGCAGTCCGGGATCAACTCCCCCATAAAATATTCTCTTCCTTAAAGCTTTTGAATCTATGATTCGTCCTTCGGAATCAATGAAAGTCAACCACTGCAGACAAACTAAAAATTAGAGTGGAATGTATAACTACATGTGCATGCAGACTGGTCCTTGTTGGGGAAAGAAGCGAAATTTGGTGGGAATGGGTAAGGGATCTACCCCATCGCTAGTAAAAAAATCACCAATGAAATGATGTCATTTTCACCAAACCACCAAGATATATAGAAGAGATTAATTCGTTATATTGATATACTTGCTTTTATACGTATATGCACATATACAATTTGTTATATTGATAATTTACTTTATTTCAAAAAGTGTACATTTTTATATGTTTATAAATATACAAAAGTATATATCATATTAAATAAAATGAATCTTACAATTCACAATTCAATATTTTAGCAAGATGATCCATGATTCAATTCACAACTTGACAACAATGGTGATGCTTGTACAGGACTCATGTCATCCACGATACAATATGCATAGAGGCACCGGTTACATTATTGTGCATGAGTGTATAACATGGACTTTTGTATGTGTGAAGTTTCCATGTCAGGCACATAACATCACACACATTGACACAGATTAATTGTAAGGTAATACATTATGTACTCATGGTGTAGAATGAGATAGGTAAAGCACAAACTATTACAGCGTAAAACACTATCAATATCATTAATCAAAAGCTTATTATTACACTGCAAACCATAGCATATCAACCTTAATAAAAATAGGAAACTCTCCACCCAAATATCATTTGGAAACAAAATCAGAATATCTTCCTAATAATCATATAATTAAACTAAACACCAATGGTAATTATTATTATCTACCAATGACATTTATAAGACCAAAACGTCTTCGGGCTCACAGACTTCACCCTAGGCTTCTAAATTCAATAATTGGTTTCTAGCTAGTCAAGGGCTGTGCCATCAACTCAGCAATGTAGAACAGCATAAAAGAAAATGATTTTCTAGATTTCTATTGCTCTGACTTTTAATCATCATAACATGTATTTTAGAATGAAAATCTCATATCTAACAGGATATTGTTTCGAATGAAAATTTTTAATGAGGAAAGACTTCATATTTTCGAATGAGAAATTTCAAATCTCAAACAAATATTTTTGAATGAGAAATTTCAAATCATAAACATATATTTTTGAATGAGAAATCTCAGATCTGAAACATATATTTTTAAATAAGAAATCTCATATCTGAAACATATATTTTTGAATGAGAAATCTCAGATCTGAAATCTTAAACATATGTAAACCCTAGGAGAAGAATCGACAGAAGGAAGAGCGCGAGAGAGAGAGAGAGAGAGAATATGAAATTGAGATTGTAGACAGTGGTGCTCACCTTAGTCAACGATGCAGATGGTGGTGGCGGTGGAGCTTCGAAATCGAGAGTGAGAGAGAGAGAGAGAGAGAGAACTTCGAAATCGAAATCACTCTGAGATTGGATCTGAGATGAAACCGAGCTGAAGAAGGTTGAATCGTAATATCTGAGACTGAAGGGTTTAGAGAGAGAGCGAGCGATCGGGTGAGTGAGATTTGAGGGATTGGTTTCTCTGAGACTAAAGGTTTCCCAGATTCAAAATGAGGGCTTGGAGAGAGAGAGAGAGAGAGAAGGGTTCTCTGATTCTCACAGAGCTAAAGAAAGAGAGCAAGGAATAACATTATTATTGTAACACACGTGAAGGCGTTTAAAAAACGACTTCGATTCCCTAAACGGTACCATTTTATTGAAAATAAAATGCGACGTTTATAAAACATCGCTAAATGTTAAAACAGTGACGTTTAAAAAAACGTCGTTAAATAAACGCCGTTAAATCCTATATTTCCTGTAGTGTGAAAGTGGCCATATTTTGACCCCCTTGTCATGTTTCATTAAGGGTCTTTGGCTGTTTGATGAATGTTTTGTATACTTTGTGTTTTGACCTCTTTTGGGCCCTACCTTGCATGGCATTTTGAGCATACTTGTATATTGTTTTGGAGGTTTCTATAAACTGTAAGTAGTCATATTTTTGGTCCCTCTTCAGTGTTGTAGAAGAGTCTTTTTCTGTTTGGGCTTTGCATCTACTACTTGTTTCATTGCCTCCCTTGCGGAGCCATTTTTGTATGATAATTTAGTCACCATTCTGTGCTTTCAGACTCAGTAGTTTTGGCAGCCCATAGCTTTAGAACT